GAGGAAACAGAAACAGCCTCTCCCCCGAGCCCCCGCCCGGTGCCGCTTTCGCCGTTTGGCGGCTGTGGGAAGCAACGATGGCTGTGCCCCAAGGCTCGCCACCAGGCAGCCCGGGCGCCTCCATCTCCGGCGATTGAGGGGGGGGGCGGGGAGGCGCAGAATGCCGCCTCCTTTTCTTCCGCGCCCCTGTTTCCTGCCGCCACTTAGAGCAGCTCAGGAGGAGGAATGCGGCGGGATGATGGTGGGGAGCGTTCCGGAAGCTGCCGTCGGGGCGCGCTACCTAAAGAGGGCTGGCTCAAAGCGCGCTGTAGCGGGTGGGAGAGAGCCGAGCTGCCGCCGCCTTCCCTCCCTCCTCCCCAGCAGCTCTCAGGCACACCTCCCGCCTGCTCATGTTGCCTAGATACTGCTCCCCGATGGCCGACAGAAGACGCTTTTGCGACTAGTGTTGGGGCTTGAGCGAGCATCATCCCCTCCCCTCATAGCGGAATTCGTGTTTAAGCGCTTCAGCTTCTTTCATTGCTAGTCAAGTTGCGAGAGGAATGAAGCATGACGCCTCCTCCCTCTCCCTCGTCAGCCATTGGATTTTGGGAAGTAGTGGCCACGTGACCTGGCGACCAGCGCTTTCTGCTGCCTCGCGCTATTCAAGGGAGAAGGGATCCCAAGTTCCCGCGCGCTCCGTGCTGCCCTTTCCTCATTGGCCAACTTCCTGCCATTGTCCCTGCGTGACAGCAGTTCACGACGACTCTCTCCTGCTCCTGCCGCGAGGTATCAGACATACTTGCAGGAGAGATCCCTAATTCTTCATCTCCAGGCGTCTCGTTCTTCTCCACGCAAGATTTTAATCCATTCATAACGATAAGAAAGATGAGAGCCTTCTGAAACTCCAGTGCATCCTGCATTTGGGGGAAAGTGCCACTGGAGTTATTCTGGATCTAGGAGGTTACTTCTGGCAACAGGTTAATAACAAGTGGTCCTGAAGCACTCCTTCCTTTCTGGAGATGAAAGGGAGCTAGCTACACTTAACTGCTCCCCCTTAGAGCCCTTGCTTGTATAGATTAGACTACTGCATCAAATTACCATCATCCTTCTACTTGGATACAGAAAAATCGTTAAATAAATCAGCAGTGATGCTGCTGCCCTTCCACTCTCTTTCTCTGAATAGCATGGCAGGGAAGATACTGTATTTTTCACTCTATAAGATGCACCTGACCATAGGACGCACCTAGTTTTTAGAGGAGGAAAACAAGAAAAAAAATATTCTGAATCAAATGGTTTACTAAACTATTTAATAAACTATAACCGAATACAGTAATACCATATTTCAACCTTGTAAAGTGAACAGCAGTCAACAGTGGCATTAAGAACCATCATCACTGTCATTAACAAAAGAGAGACTTTAAAGTTCGAGTACTCTTCTAGTTTTCGTTGAACCCATAGATCTCATCATCACTAGAGTCAGACTTTATGAAACTCTGTTGCTCACAATCACTGACATCACTTTCTTAGTAGTGGAATTATTGAAGGAATCCACAATCTACACCAGTTATACAAGAGCTGCTGCAGACAATTCAATAACAATCTAAAAAAGCCTGTAATGTCCACGCTGCCCTACTAGTAAATAATAAAAAAAAACTTCTGACAAAAAATGAGATATTGTATGGTAAATCAAACACACAGCAGACTAAGTAGCCTTTGAAGAATAAACTTCATGCACGAAGGTAATGCTGTTCAAATACCCACTGATCCTAAAAAAAATGTGTCTGATCAACTAACAGATAACTGATCCATGGAAAGCTGCCTGAGAATCACAGGCACATTCCCCATCACTTCCCCATGGGCTTCATTAAAAGACGGGTTGCCATTTGAAAACACACACCGACCTGTGATTAACAGCTCTCACCCTCTCACCTGTGCCGGAGGAGGGAGGCGGAGCCGAGCGCATGCCGGCCAGGTGGTGCCACGTGGGGCCGGCAGTGTGCCGGCGGTGGTCTTCCGGGCAGCGTGATGGCGGCAGGTCTTCCCAGGCGGTGGGGCTGAGCAGTTTCCGGGCAGTGGGGGTGAGCAGTCCGTCTCTCTCTCTGCGGCTGGCGGGTTAAAGCCCACGGCAGCGGCTCCTCTGCACCTCTCCCCCTGAGCGGCACAGCTCTCACCTGCGCCGGGGGGGCGGAGCAGGGCACGCCGATTGTGTACCGGCCAGGTGGTGCCACGAAGTGCAGGTGGCCGGCAGCGTCCCGGGCATCGGGCACACACACATTCGCTCTATAAGACGCACAGACATTTCCCCTTACTTTTGAGGGGGGAAAAAGTGCGTCTTATAGAGCGAAAAATACGGTAATTCAAATTGAGAGCCTGTTGCTGGTGACAGGCTCATCTACGCTTTTCCTGCAGGTGGCAGAACTGTAAGGATTGCATATTCTGTACCCAGTTCTAGCTGCTGCAGTGCCCAGAGAGCATAAAGGCAAACCACTTTCCTCTTCCGTTGCACCTCTGCTTATTTCCTTGCTTGCAAGCCATCTCATTGAAATATGGGGAGTTAAGGTTTTACCTTTTGAGGCTAAGCAACAGTAGTATGTTTTGTATTATTATAGTTACTGGGCATAGTACTGCTTGATTTTTCTTGTGGGAAGTGAAAACAACACAAGGACATTACATCCCTGGGTTGTATGCTGTTGCTTCTGAACCCAGGCTTCTGTTTTGTTCCCCATAAACCAGAAAAACAACCCTATGGGTTATTTCTCTGGCTTGTAAGTGGAGAAGCAAGCGACAGGGCCAGTTTCAGACATAATGCTAAACAAGAATATGCCTCTGAGTAGACACGAGTAAAAATCAAGTTTTAACTCATTATAAGGCCAAAAGGCATTGTGATCTAAAAAGGGTACAGTGCGAAACTACATTTCTTGCAGCTCTCTCAAGTCCAAGGACAAAAAGAAAAACAACTACCACCCTGTGAAATTGACTGACCCCGGCCTTACTATCTCTTGAATCTACTCTGATGGTGCTTAAGAAACTGTTACATGTGCATTCTTTCCTGACAGAAAAGTAAGTGTTCTGTAACAGCATTGGCAAAATGCTTGATAACATGGAACACTAGTTATTGTATGTGGTCAACTGGACAGGTATCCAAAGATATGTGAACAGTACATCAGGATTTCTCATTTCAAATACAAGTATTATGGAAGAAAGCTTTTTCTGAAGGTTTTCTAATGAAGCAGATATGGATAAAGAATGACAGTTACTGTTCCCATATATCTAAAGACTGATAAGCAATGACTAATCTATGACATAATAGTTTCTACTTATTTTAGATACATAGTTGCCTGTATATCTGTGCATAATATGTCTAGAAATACATATTTCCTTGTGGAAATTAATTTGCAAAAAGGCTAATTTTGGGGTTTTAGGAAGCAGTGACATTATGAACTTCATCAAAACAATCCAGAAGCCTCTGATTTAGTAGTTTATAATGTACAGGGAAAATCCAATCTGTTGGTGCTCAGTACTATTAGAGTACTGAACTAAAAATTTAAGCAAACTGCCTATCTCAAAATCTGCCTTCAAGAAGAAACAGAAATCAGGAGCTACCTAAGGATTCATACATAATAGAATTTAGATGAGTAGCTCCAAAAGGAGGCTACAAAGTGGGGGTCAGTAGGCTAGTGGCTCCTTGGGCATCTAAGTAATTGGAATAGATTTGCACTAATTCTTTTTCTGACAGTACCCCAATGAACTAATTCTGAAACTGACCTGGAATTTAACAGACCAATCATTTATATGTCTACTCAGAACTAATTCCCATTTGTTTTAATGGGTTTTACACCCTAAACCGCTGGATTAAATTGACTCCTGAAACTGTTGGATTCTTTATTTGTTTCTGGTACTACTTCTTGTGTGTTCAGAGAGATAGCAGCTATTTTAGAATCCAGTATTCTGCACACAATTCTTCTCCAAAGACAAGTCTGTGACCCTGCTTTGAGAACCTGCTCTTATATTTAAAAAAAGCAGTAAATTGCCTAAGTATACTTTGTCTATAGAATTATTTAAAATACTTGCATTCAATTGATCTAAAGCTTAATTGCATACTACCAAAAGATAATTTTCAATATGCTGTCATCATTGGTCCAATAAGTTTTAGAAACATAATCTGAGACAACTATTTTTTGGACCAAAAGTCTTTAGGCTTTAATCCTGTGTATACTTACCTGGCTGGGATAAGACCCCTGAGCACAGTAGGATTTGGTTCCAAATAAGCATGCATAGGATTGCACTATGAAATACTGGAATTTCAGTTTATATAGAAAATTATTTTGAGCTTACATATTTGGAGAAAAAAATAGTAACTGGGATTGCATGCCTACTTGATGCTTGTTTGTTCAAGTCAACGAATATTTTGTCTTCTTGCTTAAAGCCAATAATTAGGAGGTTGGAACAAACGCTGTAGGTTGGATTCAAAGTTTTGTGGCTGGTGTTCCATTTATGGAAAAGGTGTCTCTCAGTTCTCTATTCTCCTTGCCCCTGTACTCCCCTAAAATTGCTCCAAACAATTGGGAATTCTCTATAAAAACATGGCAGGTAAAAGAAGAAAACTGCAGTGGGATTGGAGAAGCATAAAACATTGTCTCCCACTCATTTCTGTTGTGGATGCTCAAATGGAAGAACTTCTATTCAATGAATGACTTTGTTGGATCCAAGCTCATGTATATCACAAATATCAGTGCATTATAATTTTGTATTATGTGAACATTTTACAACATTTGTGAAGGATCCATCTTCTTAATCCATAACAACCCATCTTTTCAGAAGCTTTCATGAAATCTTAACAATGGTTTCCTGCACACATAAGAAAGCCAGTGCTAAGTCCTCTTTTCATTCCATAGATTGGCAGCAGAGATACTGGAGTAGTTGGCTTTACATTATGCATATGACTTATCTCTTCAAAACTGTGTGAGGTTTTTTGTTTGCTTGCTTGCTTATTTCTCTGTTTTGTATGTTTGTTAATGTAGAGGAAGAGAATATGAATTCTGCTGAATTATTTGATGATGAAGACAATGCTGAAGGTAGTGTTCTACCTTTATTATATTTTCTGGGCAGATGAAAGTACTTATAAATATAACCTATATCAAATAAACATGTTAATATAAACATTGTGATACCTTCATGAGTGGTATGTAATATGAAATATGGTATAGGAGAAGGATCGTACACCAGAACATTTGTCTAGAATCAATAGCGTAATTAGGTTCCTGTCAGTGTCTCATTTTTATCATTTTTTCTGTTTCAGTTATCAAAAGTATTATGAAAGTAGAAATGGACAAAGAAGATGAAGTCTTAGATTGCTCTGTAATTTCAAGACCTGAAAAAAATTCATTGGATGGTTTAGTGACTTGTCTGCAAGATACCAACAAACGAAAACGGGCCTCATTTGGCTGTGATGGGTCAGGAAGCCACCAAGAAATCCTACCAAGTGTGAAAAAAAGAGGATTTACACAAGAGGTGATTCCTTTCCATTAGATTTTAACAGCATCTTAGATTCGTAACTAACCCTTTCAGGTTGGCCAGCTGTTAATGTATTTCGTCAAAGCTAGTTAATTCTTACTCTGAAATGTTTAATAGTCACTGGGCATATTGCTTTACTAGCAATTATACACACAATAATACACATAAAGCAATTATATACACATTTATCTAAAAAACTAAAGATATAAAATACCCCGTAGAGATACCTTACTAATTAATTAGGTTGCAGCACAATGCTATTTTTATTAAGCAAAATTCATCAGGTATGTACAGTAAGCTGAGAACATGGTGAACTGGACTTTGCATGTGAAAATGTATGACTTACATCTGTAATAGAGCTTTGTACATTTTTGCTGTACTGATTAATATGGTTATTCTTCTGGATTTCATCTAAAATTATCTACAATTCCGTTTCTATTCATACTTAGAAAGTGCCAGTGTGCTCCATGAAATTTCCTTCTGGCACTGTAAAAATTTATGCTCCAAACAACACTTCCAGGACTGATTTTTAGGTGACATTTTGTACTTTAGTACTGATAAGCAGATGGAAAATTCACAGACATTGCATTATATATGAAGAGTGCATATGAATTTTACTTACTTGTTAAGACTTGCATCCCAAGTTTGCTCCCACCAATAAGAGCATCTTGAGGAGTTCCACTTGCAAGATGCTCTCACCAGTAGAATGGAGGGAGCAGTTTTCTCAAATTTCTTCTTCCTTTTACAGCCGCTTATGTCTCCTGGTGTGTTGGAGGACCATCTGAAAGGTGCGGGGGTCAGCATGGGAAGGCAGGAATCAGCAAAAACTGCCTCTCTGTTACTTCGCCCCCCCCCATGTCAGTGGGATCCCATTCATACACTTTTAAGATCTAAGCTTAAGTTAGTTTTTATCTTGCGTTACTTTCTTAAGTCAAAATTTTGCAAGGTGCCTTACAAATCAATAAATTATCAATAAAACATAAACATGACAAATATAAAAACAAATCTATGATGTGTTCAACAAGGGCTCGATTCATGAGTCAGTTGCTGTTTCCATGAATTTTAAAAGACTATAGTTTATACGTAGATGTAGCTATATCTGAAGTGACACTTGAATGGTTTATGCCTAAATATCTGAAGCTAGGTTTTTAAAAGATTACTTATATTAAAGAGTATATGCCACCTCTTTTGAAAGTGCCTACACAAGGTAGCTCAAAGCAATTTTTTAAAAAGTAGTTCATAAATAGCTGCCCTTGTTACCCAAAATGTATTCAAGTATTTATTCAGGTATACACTTTGCCACTGCAAGTGCGATATAGAGGCTAGAACATTAAACTGGGACTAGGATATGCAGGTTCTATTACCCACTCAGCCATGAAACTCATTGCGTGACTTTGGGCTAGTCACTGCCTTTCAGCCTAACCTAATTCACAGGACTATTGTGAGGATAATATGGAGAGAAGGATGATCATGTAAGGTGCATTGTGCTCTTTGCAAGAAGAAAAAAGGTGGGATACAAATATATATAATAACAGTAATAATACAAAATAGAAATAGAAAAGGTTCCCATCATTTTTAATCACTCTCCCACAGAGATTGATCCTTCTTATATAGTGAGGCTTTGGGAATTAGAATAGAGTTATTCTAATTTTCATGAGAAAATTGGGAGCGTTTGCACTGTTCTTAGTGGAATCATAACTTGGAGGTTCCTTTTTTATCATGTTAAGATGGGAGTACTTAATCTTTACTTTTTGTCTTTATAGTTTTAAAATATATATTCAATACCTTTAGTTCATGAATTTTTCCAATAGCAAACTGAAAACAAAATCAATATGATTAGATTTTTAAAGTGTGAATTCTTGCATGTTTTTGAATTCTGTATTCTGTAATTTATGTTGATGTTGTTGCTTCAAAGCAAAATAAGTTTGCAGCATAGCCAGCTGTCATAGAGTGAATTAAAGAAGAAACCACATAATGCAAATTGTTTGTATTAACTAGATAGATCCCGTATCTTTTCTTTTGTAACTTATTCCAAATCTATATACATGGTCAGATATAATAGCCTCAGTTTGCTTTCAAAGATACTTCCGTGTGGAATTTTTGTACACTTGCCTTGATTTATAATATTAGAAAGCATTGAATCAGAAGTAGTGCATTGCATAGTGAAATGGTATGGAGACTCCAAAGAAGTTTATGGACTCCTAAATAATGTCAGGAGGCCATAAATTGTGCCCAAAGGGCAAATCCAGCCCTTTGCCAATATTTTATCCAATTAATCTGCTTAAAATTAGGGATTTTTTTAAAAAAAATCTATTCCATAAGGACAGATGATTTGTTTAAAAATACTAATAGCATGTTTGTTCATTGAAAGGGACTTATTACAAACCTGAAGCACAGAGATGCATCACCTACTCAAGAAGATGCAGAACAGCCAAACAAGAGCAAGAGTGTAACATGGGCTTGTGAAGAAGAAGCTTTGACTAACACAGTCATGCCATCATATAAAAAACCTTTGTATGGCATTTCACACAAAATTACAGAGAAAAAGACAGTGCCTGGAACTGAGCAGTTCTCATCCTATGATTTGTTTGAAAAGATTAATCCTAGCAGTCCCTCCAGTCTTCGGACTTTGAATGAGCAACGCAAAAGAGATACAAATGCTATTACAGCTGCAGGTTCCGAGTCTGATCCAAATATATATTCCTTGATACAAAAAATGTTTTACACACTGAATACCTTAAATTCAAATATGACTCAGCTTCACAGCAAAGTAGACCTGCTATCACTAGAAGTCAGTAGAATTAAAAAGCATGTCAGCCCAACAGATACAGTAGCAGAATTCAGACCACCTCCTGAATACCAACTCACTGCATCAGAACTCAAACAGATCATGGACCAGAGTACATCAGGTGGAGATTTGGCTTGCCGATTACTTGTACAACTTTTCCCAGAGCTCTTCAATGAGGATGAGTTAAGCAGGACCTGTAGTACATGTGGTTATCTTAACAAAAAGAAACTTGAGTCATTACATCTGCAACTCATCCGAAATTATGTGGAAGTCTGTTATCCTTCTGTGAAGAATTCTGCTGTTTGGCAGACAGAGTGTTTGCCTCAGGTCAATGACTTTTTCAACAGCTTTTGGGCTCAGAGGGACATGGAAAACAGTCAACCAGATATACAGCCCTCCAGTTTTTATGAGACTGATCAGGTTATTGATGATAAGGAAGATGAAGAAGCTCAACCCATGGAGAGGAGCAGTTCTGTTGCCTCTGAATGGGTATTTGATGCTCAGGATATAAATGAATTTTTAGATGAAGCTTCCTCTCCTGGAGAATTTTGTGTCTTTTTGCTACACAGGTTGTTTCCAGAACTGTTTGATCACAGAAAGTTAGCTGATAGATACAGTTGTTATGGAGAATGTGGGAAACAAGAGCTTGATCCTCAGAGACTTCAGGTAATCCGCAGGTACACAGAGATATATTTTCCTGCTATGCAGGAGAGAAAGGCCTGGTTACAGCATTGTGTTCAGCGAATAAATGATGAACTCGAAAATATGTATCTAGATGACAGTGAGAATGAACAGATGAGAGAGGATTGCTATGATTCTTCAAGTTTACCCGATGATGTGTCTATTGTAAAAGTGGAAGATAACTTTGAATATGAAAGGCCAGGGAGAAGGTCAAAGAAGATTTGGCTTGTCCCAATAGACTTTGATAAGCTTGATATTCCTCCCCCTGATTTTGAAGTCCCTATTTCAGACTACCTGTTAAGCAAAGAACAGCTTAAAAATATATATGAAAGCAGCTTGTCTATAGGCAATTTTGCGTCTCGGTTGCTAGTTCACTTATTCCCTGAATTGTTTACTCATGAAAATTTAAGGAAGCAATATAATTGTAGTGGCTCTCTGGGCAAGAAACAGCTTGATCCCATTAGAATTAAATTAATTCGACACTATGTACAAATGTTATACCCAAGAGCCAAGAATGATAGAGTGTGGACATTAGAATTCGTTGGGAAGCTTGATGAAAGATGTCGTCGCAGAGATACAGAGCAGAGACGCACATACCAACTGCAACGAAAAGTCCATATGCCAGGGCCTGAAAGGAGAGAATTTCTGACCTATGCAATAAACTCAGAAAGATTTAAAGAAGAATTTGAAGGACCGCCATTGCCTCCAGAAAGAAGCAACAAAGATTTTTGCAAGATACCACTTGAGGAGCTTATTGTTCCTCCTCCAGACTTTCCTGTGCCTTCTCTGTATCTGCTGTCTGATAAAGAAGTAAGAGAAATAGTACAGCAGAGCCTTTCAGTTGGTAACTTTGCTGCCAGGCTTCTAGTTAGACTTTTTCCAGAGCTCTTTACTTCAGATAACCTCAGACTGCAATACAACCATTCAGGGGCTTGTAACAAAAAGCAGCTTGATCCTGTCAGACTGCGACTAATCCGTCATTATGTTGAAGCTGTTTATCCTGTTGAGAAAATGGACGAAGTGTGGCATTATGAATGTATACCAAGTATTGATGAAAGATGCAGACGTCCTAATAGAAAAAAGTGTGACATATTGAAAAAAGCCAAGAAAGCAAAAAAGTGATGGGATCTCATGAGTTTCCAAAGATGTTGACTACTTAAATTATTTTGAAGCAGATTGAAAGGTCACTCTGTTTTAGACTGAGACTACTCAGTATATTCACTCAGCACTAGGACAGTTGACCAGTAAAATTATTCTGGGCATATGGGAGGTACAGTCCTGTAGGAATGTATCTTACAAATCAATCCTATTGCAATGAATGCCTAATGTGAGAGAACATGTTTTATAATGGTATGCCTTTATATAGGCAAGGTTCTTGATAGATGGTGCCCTTACTCCCTACCTAGGTACACAGCAAGGAACTATAAATTATTAGAGATGATCCAGTAATATCTCATTTAAATATAATATTCATCAGTGGAAACAAATTACATAGCTTTTAAATTTGTAATTGATTTTAACAGTAAGTAGTTTTCTGCTCTTTAAGGCAATTTTCATTAGGTACCTTTAATCAATCATTTGGAAATTAACCAGTTTTTTTAATCTTTCAAACATGTAGTTTTTGAAGTGCCACACTCTTTGAAAAGAGTAGAAAATCAAGATAGCTTCTTTGCTAATCATAGCTATTCCTTGTATTAGTTTGAATATCAGAAGAATGAAACTATTACAAAATCAATGGAAAATTAGAATTTTTCTTTGACAGTTTTCCATTTTGTAGTTGAAGTGTATAAATGTTAAGATTATGATCATGGCATTATTTAATAAGTGTGTTTATGTTAAGATTGTAGAAGTGATGCTTCAGTTTTTATTCATATAAGTTATTTTATTGTCTTCCGTGTGACCTCTTGATAGAAAAAACTACTGCTATGAGTAGAGGTTGTAAAACAGAATCCTGCTCTGTATCAGTAGAACATGGTGCTATTACTTGTTCTCACTATTTGCAGCATAAGTCTTACATGAAGTGATACTTGAATTGAAGAATGTACAAGAGCATTTAAGCCCATTTTGTCAGTAAAATTACTGCAGCCTTTCAAATGTTTACGATATTAAATATATGTACCTATTTGGAATTATGTATACCAAGGGCCCTTTCCACTGTATGTTGATTTTATATCTCCTAGTATAGTAGCACTCAGAAAATTTTAATATCATGGAGACGATGAACTTTTCTTTCATTAGTTAACCTTAACTAATAGTTAATTTGGAATCACTTTTTATACAGTTAACTTCAGTTCAGGTAATCAGAATCATTGATTGTATGTTTCCATTAAGAACAGCCAAACTCCAATTTTTTTGCCTTGAATTTCATGGAGTTTGCTGCATCATGTCAAGACTTTATTTTCCTCTTTCTTTGGTAATCATGAGGTTCTCATGACAAGGAAGAATAAAATCACTTGCTCCAAACCATTGTTTTCTTACTGGGTTTCTTCTAGAGAAACTTACCTGCAATTTAATTCTGTTGAAATCAGCAATGACTAACATATTCGATTCACTTGTCCCATTGATTTCAGGATGACAAAATTATGCATTCAAATAGTTGGATTTCTGAAAAGTCCATGGAGTTCTCCAGCATTCAGTTCAGTGAAGGAAACCAATCCCTCTCTGTGGACTACACACATAATAGCTTCATGTGCGCATTGTATTCTGGACTGGGATGTTTGTCTGAAGCTAGTAACAATGATAACCTAATACTAGTCATTTCTGATCTGACACACTCATTTGATACTTAATGTTAGTGATGTTAATGTAGATCAAGTTATCATATATTGAAATACAATTTATATGTTAGCAGCTGAATTAAATGTGATATTTTAGTACCAGTTTTAAGACTATGTTGCTTCCATTATTACACTGATAGCCTTTTTTAAATGCCAAGAATGGTCTGGCTCTACTGAGACTACTTACTGGTAGTCAGCTGCTAACCAGTTTCCCTTATGAGTTAGCAACAGCATCCTAAAAGCGCATGTGTAGGCCCCATCAATGAACTACCTGCATCCTAATCAGAGCCAAAAGAACAGTTTTCCAAAGATAGTGATCAAAATGCTTGCATTTTCTTTTATATCAATACACACTTAGCAGAATGAATCTTTCAAATTATGGGAGCATTGTTTTAGTTGTGTGCTATCTAGTAACACCAACTTCTTTGAACAGCAAAATATCATGAAAATGGCAAGTTAGTTAGTCTTAATATGTAACTATATTTGTTCTGTAATTCAAACTCTGTATACATATATATTTTTGTAGTTTGCTGTGTCTCTGAAGTAGCAGCCCTTAGGGGTAACTTGAGTCTTGTCCATTTTAGAGCACTGGAAAGGGTTTCTTTGTAAAAGCTGAATTAACATCAATGGTTTTGACAAAATGATGTGATGAAACTAACAGTGCAGTCCTACAGGTGTACACAGAAATAATCATTATTGATTCAGTTCTCATGATCAGCACAGTCCACTATGGCTTATTTAAGTTGTGCTGGGTTGCAGTACATGCCAGTGACTATACTTGAATACTGAACAACCCACATGCTGTTTTGGGGTTGTAGGTAGGTAGTCTCTCCAACAACCCTACCAGATTTGGATGGCATGGTAAGCCACAGCAATTGCCCACTGCAGCTTAAACATTAGGGATGCAGTTGGCGCGGTGGTTTAAACTGTTGTGCTGCTGGGTTGGTTGATCCAAAGGTTGCCAGTTCAAATCTGCACAATGGGGTGAGTTCCTGTTGCTCCGTCCCAGCTTAAATATTAAAACTGGCCCCCAGCAAGCACTACAACCCACCATTGTTCAAATAAGCCACTGTGGTTGTAACAATCATGAACTAGCCCATTGAGTTCATCAGAACATGATCTCTGATGTCTATAGGATTGCTCATTCTCTCTAGTTTTGATAACATTTTAAATACTTGATTGGGTTTAGAGTAACTTTTATCCCATATGATTTGGTGAGGAAATACAGGCTGCCTGATTCACTGGAAATTAGTAACATTGTACTGAAGCATCAGAGTGCTATTTCTCTTAATACCAGTAAACTATGAATTGTGTAAACTTAGAGCTGCTATATGTCATAACAATACTTCAGAAGCAACACATCTGAAAAATGAGAAAGCATCTGACTGGCAAATATCTTTGAAGATGATGTCCTCAAAGGGGCCTCTCCTGTAGATCTTCTGCCAAATTTCATTTAATAACATTTTATACAGATCTTAACATATACCACATGCTATTGTAGGAAACATTGGTTGTTTCCATTGTTAATGAGTGATGAAGCAAATTAAAGGCATGTTACATCTCATTCTCTTTCATTACTGTAAAAGGAAAACTGTAAATAATCTTCATAACAGAGAACCTTATGGTTGCTAGACTGAGAAAACAGTTTTCGAAGTGAACAAGGAAGAGTCTCACTGGGGTCTATTCCAATACCTTAAGGAATGTCAGGTTTTAGTCAGGCTACTGAAGTAAGGTTAAGGGCTTATCCACATATATATGCAAAAAATAAATCTTGAAATCATTTTTCAAATGCAGGTGCAGGCTATGCTTATGAATGGAGGGCATAACGTCTAGGTTGGAAAGTATACTGCTTAAGATAACTTTTAAGAAGGGACTCCAGTTCATTTGGAATTCTTTCAGGCAAATATATACATCAGGATGCTTGCTGTTTATTAGAGGTGCACCAAACACATGTACACAGATCATAGATGGAGGTGTTGAGGACAAAAAAAGCCCCTCTTATTCCTTGTGTGACTGAGAGAGACAGGCAACACCAGCAAGTAATTTCATATAAAAAGACTATTGTAGGTGCCCACTAACAATATGAAGTGAGCCCACCTCCATTTAGGGCCAGCTGGCAGGGACATCATGCACAGCAAATTTATACATTTGACTTTTTGCAATGATTAGTAATAGAAAACATCATAGCAGAAAGCATTCAGTTACTTTTGTACATGGTTTCTTGACCTACACTTCTTTTTAGACATCTGGTGTCAAAACATTTGCCTATCTATATGAATTCTGACCTTCCTGACAGAGGTTTATTTTATATTTTCAGATAAGACGCTAACCCTTGTTGTTTGATCAGGAAAAATGTGTATTCTTCAGGGACTTCACTGGCCTGTCCTAGTTCTCAGGCCACTTTAAGAAATGCTGATTAGGTCCCACTGTGGGCAAGCAGCATATGGCATCACAAGGGCTTAGATTTTTTGGCATGGGAATGATTCAAATATGATCTATCAGACAAATGAAATGGTACAAAGGATTCTACTGCTTTTAAATAGCATTTTAATTTGTTGGATGTAATTGATGTGGGAATGGTGAGGCCCAAAAGGGCTAGCCTTGCAGTCTGAGGATGTACCCTAGAACATTTCCTAGAATCCTCAGCAGCACACTGGGGTCTAGTGGTAAATGCAATGGGATTCCTTAGCACCAATCCTTGTGAAACAAGTTATTAAATATTAATAGAATATTTGAAGAAGTAAATATTCTTTATCAATCTAATAATTTTTCACTGCATCAGCAATTCTTTGAAAAAATCAAGAATTTTCTTGTATGAACACCAAATCTTTAAGGACACAAATACACATTTACACTTAAATTTTGTTGGGCTTTATTAAGCTAGTATTAAACATCAGGAATTTTCACATGGCGATAAATGTCATTTGAAGGCATCCACAACATTGTATTGACAAAGGTTATAATAATATTAAAGAAAAAAAATTCCCAGGGTGAAAAAGCAATACTTACCTTTAACTTGGAAAAGCCTTTATTTTGCTTTCCTATATCACACCGGTTTAGGAGATAAGACCATTATCTTTTCACATAATTGGCCTTATGATCTAGCACTTCCTTAACTGGTTGCTAAACCTACACTGTTTATGGAAGTAAACTAATTTCTACAGATGTTTACTAAAGCTGCATGTCCAAATTAATAAATGGGAACAATAAGGGTGAATGCAAACTAATGTCCCTATTCCAGTGGATGTCGTCCATCAGTGGAGCAGAAAAGGATTGATTCTTCCTGCACCCTTCCCAAACTCAGCTCTAGATCTGAGGAACCCTCCACAGCAGATTTGAGGAGCAACACATAAGTCTGTCAAAGAGAGTAAGAGTTGTGTTCCACAAGCAAACATCTGTATTCACAACACTGAAATGTAAGATCTTAAGCTGCCTGTACCAAAATGTAGACATTTTGCACTTGGTAGCACAAAACTAATATACACCAAAATTCATGGACATGTAGCCCGTGACATAGACTCTTGGTTGTACCAACGTGCATCTGAATTGCTGTATTTACTTCCGTGGTGACAACTGCTCTGTGCATATAAAGGATACCTATGCAGAGCCACCGACTGTGTTGAAATGAATAGGGCAAACTAAGTATTCCAGAGTTCTATGCTCCCACAGGAGCAGACACAGGACTTTCATGTGGGGTGATGTATATGACTAGATTTCTAACAGCTTGCTACTAAGCCAAACACTGTAATGAGTTCCTGAGATAAATGATTCAAACAGCAGGAAATCCTTCTGCTTTCACCACCATATTCTATGAGTAAAGGAACTCTGCTTTGGAAGTGCAAACACAGTGTCCAGCAGAGTCAACTACGTCTCACACAGGGACCTCACAAGTTACAAGAGGAGAACAACCAGAAACTGCCGTTAATTCAGTCACTATCCCTAGCAATAGAAACCTGCACTGTCAGTCTACCAGGTATTTTGTCTTTACAAGACAGCTTTTTGAAGTGACTGGCTACTGATATCACCACATACACAGGAATAAAAAAGCAAGGAGTTTTTTCAGCTCTAGGATCTCAACCATGCTATCCAAAAAAGAGCAGAGTTAGTTTAAGATTAGCCTGCCCTTTTATTCCTTTGTTTGTTCTTCTCATAGAAATATTGTTTCTCCCCTTAGTATGAAAAAGCAACAAACTGACAGTCACAGAAATAAAAGTGATGTTTATAGTAAGGAGAGTGGCATGCCATCCCATACCCATTTAAATAATTGTTTTTTTAAAGAGTGCAATAATTTTGTTACAGCAAAATTCATCAATTGTGTAACAAATGAAATTGCTTATAAAGAAACTACCATGTGCAAATCCCGGTTCACTTAAAGACATCTTGTTTGGGCACTTTTAAGTTTCTCCAGCGCCTCAACACCACTTTGTATTTATCATCGTCATTCTTCTCTGAAGCTTTCCTTAAGACAACTCTCATAACTACAGCAGATTCTGTTTCTTTATCCTCTCCAATGATGAAATCCAGCGTGTCACCAACTTTTACCTGAAGACAAATGTGGAATTTAAAAAAAAAGACAAACTTCAGCTTTATTTCCCCTCTCCAGAAATAAACTGAAATAGCTTGCTGGTGCATTTATTCCCACTTTTCATGCCCATCATTTTGTAACTCAGAGGAAAGCTGCCAATATGGCTACATTTTTATTCATTTTATTTATTTATTACACATTTATACTGCCCTTTAATCAAAGTTCCCTGGGTGGTTTAAAACTATAAAATACAATAGCACAGTAAAATACAATATAAAAACCAAATATTTAAAATGGAACAATACCAAAGTAGCAACAATGGTCTGAAAAGGTCTAAAACCACAGAGGTACAAATTTTGATAAAGAAAGGATAAAAAGACTGGAGAAATGCAAAGCTCTTTGCTTGGCACCAAAAAGACCACAATGGGGCCTGGTGAGCTGCTCTGCAGTGCCACCCATTCCATAACTGGTGCGTCATCGTGGAAAAGTCCTTCTACTTAGTAGCCACCCACCTCCTCTCATTCAGTGGGGCACCAAGGAAAGAACTATGTGGATGATCTTAGGGTCCAGGCCTTCCTGCATAGTATTTGCTTTGACTGGAATGCTGTAGCTATAGTCCTCTAACGCAGGCCTATAATCAAGGAATAAGCATGTTGCCTTGTAAGTTTTTCCAACGAGTGTTGGAAGTAAGGCATGTACATTTCAATACTTCAGTGACCCAGAAGTCCCATGGCAAGTTAAAGAAAGCTGTTGTTCCTAAAGCTCAAGCACATAAAACCTTATCCCATAATTTTATGGTCCCAGCTGAAATTTCTTAGGCTTAACTAAGTTGTTTTACCCAACCAATCAAATTGTTAAGCGATTAGGCTGAGCATATGAGTACATGATTTAGATGCTGTGTTCAAACATGTTATGAAAATGTGCATTTTTGACAGGGCCAAGGATGGCAGAGACTAAAGAAGGGATATGTAGGGACTGAAAGAAAAGGAGATGAGGAAAGTGCTATGGGTACTCACTTAGCTCTCCCGTTTTTGACCTGACCACTAGAAATCTTTCTATATCCTTCTAGGTCTATAATGGCTTCCTTTTTAAATTTCCCTTCCTCACATCAGTTGTCCACAAGCAACACAAGACCATGCTTTAGCACTATGCACACAAGCAAGAACAAGCCTGACCAGTGTCAGGCTCACACTCTCTTCCTTTCCTCTTTTCCTATGCAGCCAAGATTAGGACTTCAATTGAGTTTAGTTTTACTTCCAAAAACTCCTGGTTTTTTAGGTACATGTGAACCAAAACTGTAGCTTTAAATAAATTCAATTCAACCAATGTTTTGTGAATCATGATTTGAACTTGCTTGTGTAGAAAATGACTTAATTTTAAAACATAATTTCTACTTCATAAATAACTACAAACCTGGATTCTTTGTGAGAGACAACAGAGGATGCACACGCACTGTAATTAGGGATCCAGTTCTAAACCATCCTCCTTTTGTGTTTTGATGTTTAAAGGTATCAAAAGTATTTTTAAAAGAATCATTGCTAGGCAGCAATGAAGATGAGGCAGATGGCAAAAATAACCCTATGCTCCTTAGTCAATGCTATGATTAGATAACTATTTACATGTAGAGAATGAATTAAGTGCCTAAGCCTTTACCCATTCAAAATCATTACATCTGATATCCTCTTGCTAATGTAAGGCACAAAATATATTTGCAGATAGCCTTACCGATCTGCTTTTCTTCCATAGTTTCTCTCCATTCAGCCTGAGCTCACCATTGTAGAATGCATCTTCGATTTTGCTTTGAAACAGAGGAAAGATATAATTGTTCACACATTCTGAACAGCAAACATCCAAATATATCGATTTAGGATCAAGATACCAACGGAATCCAGTCATATGACCTATTATCACATAACCAACTATTGGTTGTATCTAGGGCTGCCATCCACAAAGACTGTGAAATGGATTTCTTGCCCCTCTGCACCTGTCCAGCATTCACCCAAAAATCTGGTTCAGATGGACTAGAAACCTGCTGGGCAAATCCAGGGACCTGCAAAGGAGGCTGCAAAGGAGAGGAAAGTAAAAGGAAGTCCATGCACACAACTCTGAATGCCACTTTTAGGAAAGATTTTAAAAACAGTTCAGTCACTGATTTTCATACATATCTATGGAGCTGGTATCACTTACTCCTAAACCCTAAAGAGTTGACACTTTCTGGGTTACACTCAGAAAGTTACACTCTTTATTGTACCCACAGAGTATACTTAACACTAATGCAAATGTCTGTTTATGCAAAATATCTGTGTGACTGTAATCTTTGGGTTAGAGGCTAAGTCACTAGACTGTATGTTAAAATTTCAAACACTGCCTCTTCATGTTATTTGTGTTTGATTTAAAAATAATATTTGTGAATACAAATAATCCTGTTTATTTTCCTAACCCTGAGTTATATTTAGCTGGTCAGTCTATTTTGATAAGGATTTTGAACTAACTGCTGCTCAAAGCGTTTTTAGAGTATTGTCTAAACAGACTTCTAAATAACATTTTCCTTGGGTTATTTAGGCCAAATAAGAAAGATGACAATCTATTCTTAACTTGTTCTAGAATTAAAGAGAACTAAAAATGGAGTGCACTCTCAATGTCTTTATTTACAAGCCACTTTAAGTCTTTTTACTTACTTTCTTGCAATGTCTAGACCTGCTTTCATTATTACATCAAACCGGAAAGACTGTACTACTTTGTCAAGATCTTTGTAATTTTTCAGTACGGCAGAATCCTCTTCCTCCTCATCTTCTGAATCGCTTTTCTCTTCCTCCTCTTCCTCATCTTCAGTGTCCTCTTGTACAGCTCTTCTCATGTTCTTTCGAGAGCTTTTGTTGCTCTTGAGTCTTATAGAAATCTTTGGCATGTTTGGGGGCAAAGGTATTAAAAATACAGGACATTTAATGGGAGAAATGCAGAGATGTCTGGGGGCAATTGCTGTTACTGGCTGTTGGCTTGCAAAACTAAGAAACCTCCTCCAAGGTGTGCAGATTTTATAAGGAGATTTCTCCAAGAGTCCAAGCCATGCATTTAGACTTCTAAAAGCACCAAGAGGCAGCCTGCAGCCCGTCATAGCATACCCTGCAACAAAAGAAGAAACTCTCAGTTGGGTTCAGCAATCTAGGAATTTTCTGAGGCTACTGAAACCTGGATCATTTAGGATGCTGTGCATTAGAGAAGAGTATTAAAAGTAGGAACTCATAGACACACTTATTGTAGAGTTTAAGGCTGACATTCTGCATTTACTTACCTTGGAGTAATTCCATGGGACCAGCTTCTAAGAGAGTACATGTCTAGGACTTAACTGTAAGGCTTTTTTTTAATATCAGAGGGCCACACTGTTATTGCTTAACTATCACTCACCCACTGTAAGTCTCAATCCAGGAAGTTAAGCACTCTTAAGGCTTCTATGTTAGCAATTACAATGGACAGATTACCATGCCCAGTGGTCTAAGCAGTTTGCTCCTATTTTCTGTATTTCAGATCATTTCAATACTGTAAAGCAAAACAGTTAAGGATGTGATCTTTTGCGTGTTTATATTTCTTCTCCTGCCTTTCACTCTGGACCAGACAAAGTGTTATTCAGTGGCAACTTCTCAAACTGGGGAAAGGTAATGAGTGCCATATTGCAGTTTTCAGGCAGAGGCTCAATGCTCTTCAATATTTTTATTAATGATTTTGATAAGAAAGTGCAAGGAATGCTTATCAGATCTTCAGATGACACAAAATTGGGTGGGATAGCTAATACTCTGGAAGACAGAAACAAAAATCTTGCTAGGTTGGAACACTGGGCTGAAATCAACAAAATAAAATTTAATAGGAATAAATGCCCAGTTTTGTACCAAAGAAAAGAAAGCCAATGCATAGTTACAAGATGGGAGATATCTACAATATTATAGATGGCAGGGAACTTGGACTTGATGTAGATTAGAAGCTGAAAATGAGTCAATAATGTGATGAGGTTGTAAAATAAAAAGCAAATGCTATTTTAGGCTGCAATAACAGAAGTAACTCTTCCAATTCACATGAAGTACTTGTTTCCTCTACTATGTAGTAGTTAGGCCTCATATGAGTACTGTGTCCAGTTCTGGGCACAACAGTTCAGTTCAATGATGCAGACAAACTGGAAAAGGTTCAGAGGAGGGCCACAAAATTTTTCAGGGGACTGGAAAAAAGTCCTATGCAGAGAGACTGAAAAGACTGAGCATGTTAAGTCTTGAGAAGAGAAGACAAGACTAAGGGGAGACATGAAAGCATTCCTCAAGTTCTTGAAAGGTTGTCACACTGAGGATAGCTGGTTATGTCTTCTTGATCATCTATGGAATAATGGGCTCAACTTACAGGAAACCAGCTTCTGTCTTATCATCAGGAAAAAGTCCCTACCTTAGAGGACTATGTCAATGGAACCATTTAATTAATTTAAGCCATCCCTGAAAAAGCTTAAACATCCAGATGTTAATAAGCTAGTGGCCAACATCCCCTTCCTGAGCAAGGTGCTTGAGCAGGTGGTAGCTGAACAGCTCCAGGCATTCTTCTCTAGAACCATTTCAATCAGGCTTCAGGCATGGTTTTGGAATGGAAACTGCTCTGGTCACTCTTTGAGATGACCTAAGGCAGGAGAAGGGTGACCCCGTTCATTCTCCTGGACCTTTCAACAGCTTTTCAATACCATCAACCATGGTATCCTTCTGGATAGGCTGGCTGTGCTAAGAGTAGGGGCACAGCATTGCATTCAGTTATGCCATGGGATACCACAGTGTTCTATTTTATCACCCATGCTATTTAACATCTACATGAAAATACTGGAGGAGGTTATCCAGAAGTATGGGCTGAGGTACCACCAAAATGTGGATCATGCTGTTCTTCCTCTCGCTTTCATCAAACTCAGGTGAGGCAGTGACCAGCATGATAATGGATTGGATGAGGGCCAACAAACAGACTCAGTCCAGATAAGACGGAGGTCCTGTTAGTGGAGGTTCACCTGTCCAGTTGGGTGATGGTCAAGTTTTTCTGGATGGGGTTGCATTCCGTCTAAAGAACAAGGTTGGAGGTTTGGGGGTGCTGCTGGACCCTGAGTTGTCACTTGAAGCACAAGTAGACTCAGTGACATGAAGCACCTTTTATCAGCTTAAGCTGATATACTAACTAAGACCCTAAATGACAGAGAGAGCATAGCTACAGTATCCATGCTCGGGTAATCTCTCGTTTGGATTACTGCAATGTGCAGTACATGGAACTGCTTCTGAAAACAATCTGTATTTTATTCTGTACTACTGCTATACCTCTATGTTGATTCAATTGCTATTGCTATTATGGTTGCTCTGTTGTTTTATATTAATTTTATTTTGTGTATATTTCTAATTTTGTTTAATTTTAACTTTTGTAAACAGTATTACTGTAGACTGTAGACAGTATTATCAGGAAGCATTCTCAGTGAGTTCAAGCTTAAGTTTGCAGAGACATACATCCCAATTCTACTGATGTTTAATCAAAAATACATTTCACTATGGTTACAATATTGTGCATGTGTAGCTGGAAGTTCCTTTGATCTCAACGTGACCTACTACAGAGTGAACATGTATAAAATTGTGCTCAGGATGAAATATTCCTAAAGATGCATCCACAGGACATCAAGCAAACTCTTGTACTAATTTAGGGCAGGCTATACATTGCTTCAGGTAAATTAGGAAATAAGTTAATAAAACACCCATTGGTCACAATCCATGTAGCAAAAAGCATAGTATACATGGATTACCTCTGCACGTCTGTAAATCTCTCTTAAGTCAATGGGCTGTATCTAACGTCAGTTCAACATAAGTTTCTTACATTTCAATGGGTCTACTTTACGTAGAGCTAACACTGGGCACAACCCAATAGAACTTTCAGGTAAATATGGCAAGGATCAGGCTGCTCGAAAAGCTGGTGTGGGCTCTGCCCTGCTGGACGTGGGGCCCCTACCGCCTGCGCGACCCCCACCCACCCCAAGCTGCACCGCCGGGCCCTGTCTCCGATTCCAGCCTCTCTCCTTCAGAAAGCGGCTGCTCCCTGCCTGGAAACAAGCGGCCGGCCGGCCAGCGGGCCGGCTCCTGCGGCGCCGCTGCCCCGGGATCGCGCCATGCGCAGCGGGCCACTCTACCTGTCTCCTCCCGCCGCTTCCGACCCAGCGCTCCCACGCGCCCCGCGCCGTCCTTCCCCCGTCTTCCTCGTCAAGTGGAAGCAGGAGCGGCGGAGGCGGCGGCGGAGCCGCGCTTGGCGCGCCGCAGGCAGCCCCCTCTGCCGGACGGAAGCTGCTCGGAGGACTCGCCGTCTGCGGGAGAGGAAGGCGCTGCCTCTAGCCGGCCGTCCTGTTGAACTGAATGGAGCTTCCTTCTGAAGAAGTGAGCCCAGCGCTCCAGCGGCGCCAAGTAGGTCTTGCGGGGTTAAACGCAGCTAACGCAGCCTTCCCCGGCCTGGTGCCCTGCCGCCCTCCTTCCCAAAGCACATGTGGAGGGCACCAGGTTGGGGAAGTTCGTCTCATGCCAGGAGTGGCCTTCCCGATTTTTTTGGCCTTCAACGCCTCTCCTTGGCTTGAATTGGCCAGGGCAGATAGTGGTTGTAGGCCAAAATCTTTGCAGGGTCACAAGTTGCCTGCCCCTGAGATCTGGGGCATGTTAGATCCAAATTTACTAAATCGACACCAAATACAGAGGTTAACAGAGAACATGATATGCTGTGGGTGCTCCCTACATACAGACTTGGCGATCACTTGTCCTCAGCCCCACGGAGTGGCATGCATCTGTGTATGTTTCTCCGTATTTCCTACTCTCCTTTGTTCTGTCAATACTAGTTCCTCAACTAGATTTAGCCAATCTGATGCCCACTGAATGTACTTGATTACAGCTGTCCATGCTACATAAGCTGACTGGAGATGATGGGAGTTATATAAATACAACTTTTATATATATAAATGTATATATAAATAAGTTAACAATATTGAAACAGGTAAAACAAAGACAAGCATAGCAGATAAAAGCAACAAAAAAGAGGGTTCTCCACAAAAATATCAACAGAAAAGAATAAAAAGTTGCAACTATATCTCAAAAGAAGAGATGCGGCTGATACATATTATTATTATTATCATCCCACCTGCATCCTCAAAGAGCTTGAAGTAACATACTCAGTTTCACTTTCCTTGTTGTATCCTCACAACACCCCTTTGAGGCTGGGTTAAGCAAAGGAGGACTGACTGACCCAATGGCATTTAATGCTGCCGGCACTAACACTTAGAAGACATTGTACAGCTGTTCCATCATACCCTCTTCAACAGATTTTCTGCAAGAACAAAAAAGACAGAGAAGTGGTGGTAAAACATGGGTGAGTTGCCAGTGGATTAAGATAAGGCCTTATCAAGAAGCACCTCTAGTGAGGAAGCACATGGCTAACCGGGGATTTTAACCTAGATCTCTCCATCTTATTCCAATACTAGAGCACACTTACTGTCTGAAATAAAAGTTCTAGCAGTGAAATTCCTCATTTTATTTGCAAATCAGAATTAAGTGTCTCTGATGATATACAGAGTTCTTTTGGGGAGAAAGAACCTAGACAAAGCAGAAAGGGTCACTCTTCTGTAAGGAAATGCTTCACGAAAGGTTTATCAAATCCAGCATTCTGTTTACAAAACTGGCCATGGGAAACTTGTAAGCAAGATGGGGTACCCTGGTATAGTGTACTGCATTTAGAGGTTGCTCTGAAAAAAGCTGAGATTCGGGTAATAGCTTGTTCTATTTCTCATTGTATGTTACTTGGCAGAGTGTATGTGTGGCGAGTTGGGGGTGGAGAGGTTTCTTCCAAACATCTGTCCCTATATCATCTGAACAGCCCCTTCCCACCAAAGTCAACTTACGAGACACAGTGCTGTCACTTCGTAGCTTAAGAAAATCATTTTGATTCAATCTTGGAGCTGTGTTTCTTGGAAATAAATGAAAGAGGACAGCTACACAAAGCAACGCTCATAGTTCAATATTCCTTTTACATCACAGAATAGAGCACTGTGCTCTGAAAGAACTCTGACCTTCTGCCTGGCCATGGGAATGAAAAATAAATAGATTCTCTGAAGGACTAGAACTACTAAATGCACAGAAAGCAACTGAAAATGAATGCCCTACAATGGAGACGTTCGTTAACAGGGTTGTGTAAAATAAACAAGAAGGGTGTTAAGGAAACTGACTTTAATTAAAATACATTTCATTTAACAATTCTGAAACATTTTCATTTTCACCATGGTGTCATATAGCCAAGAGCAAAAGCATTTGCCTCACCCACCTGGAAATTCAGCATACCTGCCACAAGCAGCCTCAGTCTCTCAGTAAAAAATAATCATTGACCCAATTTGCATACAGCTAACATAATTGCTTAAATCTCTCACGACCTTGCATAGATAGATAGATTGGCCAATTGGAGATAGATATTTCATGCTGGTAATACATTGTCTACCAAAGAAAAAAAGTATTTAAGGTATTGGTGTTCTTTGCTGTTTGAACAATAACCTGTTTTTAAAAAAATAAATACAAGTTGCCATGAACAAAGCAAAATACACAGGTATCCAACTGTCCCAGAAATTCTGGTTTGTGTTTCTCCTAACAAGCCAAAGAAAGAACTCACAGTTGTCCTGGGCTGTTCTTACATGTGAATGTCAGGCCATTGTTGCCAAGCAGAAACCTAGCAGGATTTTATTATTGTTGGAGACTGTCAGGACCCTTGTCAGCTTCCAGGTTTGCAAAAATTTCAATAGGACACTGTGAAACTGTAGAACAGTCATCTGGATTTGTCCTGAACTATGAAGTAATGACAAAGATCAGCTTGCCTAAACTGAGTATCCTGCTTATTAAAACTGTTCACATTAAATTAAATTAGGAGTAATAATTTCCCCACTGTGACTCATAAATGATTTTTATGGCCTACTTCATTATCCAGCCATGAAGATTTAGTAGATTTTTAACATTTGTTGTTATAGTTAAATAGCTTTTAAAATGAGTTTATGAGTTTGGGTTTTATTTTTTCCCCTGCTTGCCTGTGAGGCCCCAGTGCGACATGCCCTGCACTCTCCTAATCAGATCATTCTTGGACCCATTTGTAAATAAGTAAATGAAAGCTAACGAAAAACTAAAAATCAGGTAAAAATGGGACAATTGGAATATGATTTTTTTAAAGATCTCAGAGCTTGTCCTTCAGATCTGAACGCTCGAAGTGGATGAACAGGTTGGAACAGATTGTCTGGAGCTGAGCAGGCTGTATCATCAGGCAGAACAAGGAAACAGCCTCGGGTGGCAGAAACTGAGGCAAAACCTGAGTGGCCCCTATCAAGCCTCCAGAGCTCCCAGTTGGAAGACAGAGCTGTGTACATTACATAGCCTGCCCTGTCCCCCTAAACTAGCCCTGGACCCTCAGGCTAGTGAAGGGCTAATGAAGGACACTGCCCCATTGCCAGGTCTGAAGTAAGATTCCACTGCCAGTTTGGTTGGTTTCTGCATGTGGAATGAGGGTAGGGGTGTCCTCTTGGGTTGGTGTTCTTTGGTTCAGGAAGATCAGCAACCAAGAGACAATATTACAGAGTTTCTAAAATTGCTCATACCTGGGGGAGAGAGATACGTTCTTTTCCTTTTCCCTAAACCTAGAACTTGGTGTCTCCCAAAGAGCTAGATTGGCCTCAAAAATGACAGGTGAAAAGCGGTCCTTCTTCACATAACACAGAATGGGTTACTGGAATGTGCTGCAGCAAGATGCATATAGATGAGTATAGATTGCTGCGGGCTCTGAGCAGCAGAGGGTTGAGGAGCCAATAGGGGCAAGGGTCGAGCATAAAGGTTGTGGGCTGGACCAATCCAAGCACCTTGTCCACATCCTTAGGCCTCAATAACTGAAACTCATGGGATTTGGGAGCTGTAGTCTCCAATCCTAGCTTAGAGACTATAATAACACCCCACAGGAGTCAGGAAAAGGAGATGCCAAGGACAAGACGACAACTCGGCTAGCAAGCAGAATGTTCGGTCCACTGGAGGGAGACCACCTTCCCCAAAAGGATGGGGAAAGCCAGCCTGGACATGCATCTATAGGAAGACGCAGGAGATAAAAGGAGAAGGGTGCAAGCATAGATGTTCCTGGGATGGGCGGAGAGAGGAGTGCTGCATCCATGAAATGGAATAATGGGGTGGTCAGCTGCCTTTTTCTGGGGACCTGATATCAGGCAATGGTCCTGGCTGATCACTGGGCCCTGGATCTCTGTTCCCACCCACAATCTACTTGCAGACTTGCAGGACAGACCAAGGTCACAGGATGGTTGCAACTGAGGCCACCGGTGCACTACTTTACCCCACCCTACGCAATGGAAACCCAGCCCTGGTCCATGCTGTACTCTTGCTGTTCGCAGCCTGACCCTAGAAGCAGTGTCAGCATCCCATCACCTGCCCCTTGTTTACTGGCTGTTGTTCCCCCAGACTGCTTCCGCTTTGTCCTGGGGAATGGGCCTAAAGCAAAGTAATGCCGTGGGTGCCACAGATGGACTGAGTGAGAGGACTTGCCTCCCATAGCTGCAGCAGGGTGTCAAATGGTAGCCTCTGCCGCTGTGGCACTGGTCAACATTTTCAATTAGAGATGTAGGGAAAGGTGGAAAAAAGGCGGAGAGACCCACTCTGCCCCCTGTACCTTCCTACCCCTCATCCCTCACCTGAATGGTGCCAGTCCCAGCGGCTGTGCCTCCCTGCCTACCCCCCCCCCCCCCCACTGGAACACCAGTTGATAGGAGAGAGCAAGTCAGCAGTGGGTGTCGTTGATGCCCACCCTCCTGGGGGGACACAGATTTCTTGGAATGCATGGTGATGAAGGAACTGGGCAACAGAAAATTCATAATTAATTAATTATTACACAAAAGAAAATCGATCCTTCCCACACTTGCCTTGACAGAGACCTAATTCCAGCCTGGGGTTTCAGGATTAGCAGGTCTGGGCTCTTTGGCTCATTGCACCATGGGAGCTCCTCGTTAGCCTCCGGATAAGCTAATGAGGGATTCCTCACCCTGCCACTGCCAGGGGGCCATCTGAGGCAATGACATCAACAGGATGAGTCCGCCATGGCAAGCATGGCCACACTCCCCCCTGGAGGCATGCAGTGGCAGTCATTGACCTGGGATGTTTTGGGGACATTCCTATAATGTTCCAGGCATCACTGAGCAGGAGGCATGCCTCTTTACCTTCAGTCAGTGCTACCAGTGAAGTCTAGCTTCCCAGTATCATGGG